ATTAAAATTGCTTGAGACTATTTGTGTTGAAATCCTATTTTCAGCAACAATAGCAGATGAGGGGTTTTGCAAATCTCCCATGGTTGTGCTTCAAAGTTCAAACACCATCACATGAAAGCAGCTTCTAGCTTTAGGACACTCCAAAAAGCCAAGTTTATTATCAACTAAATTTCCTAAACCATGCTGTACCTATTCCACTAACATCTTTACAGCTATTCCTCTGATACCTATCCTGGCTAATATGATTCCTGCGACTTGACTTCTGCGACCACAGGTACACGTGCGGTTTCGTGTACTTCACCTCTAAGTAGTAATTATTTTGTCTAATATGTACACCTTTTTGTATTATTATTTTTACAGAGATTGTTACCTTGGTGGCTCCTGAGTTTCGTGGTCTAGAAATTCTCCTCTTTGTAAACAGGCATATAGGCTTGAGTTCTTTCCTCTTAGAGTGAAAAACTGATTTACCTGTTAAGTCAAGAGAAGGCTCTACCCCCACGGTAGCTGATGATCTTTCTTGCATTGCTTTCAGTGTATCTTTCTTTAATAACTGCAACAAATTTGGAATACTTTAAAGTATGAGATTCACATGGCTTCTCTGCCTCTCTGATGGAGAAAGAAGAATCAAAAAGTGAAATTTTCATTAACAGTCTATAGATAGTGAAAAATAAGGTTCTAAAATTAACACTGATTATTGTCATATACAATAACAATATGATCACCTAAAGCTTTGTAAGCTAAAAGCAGCAAAAAAAACTTAATTAATTTATTGACCAAAAACCGATTTTCTTTTTCTTTTTTTTTTCTTTTCTATTATTTTTTCTGAATATCTCATTCAGTATTAGTAATTTCTAGTGTACCCAGGTGCCCAATCGAATCAAAAGCTTTATTGAAGCGAAAATCAATTTGCCAATCTACGTTTGTTGTTGTTCTGTAAGAGTTTTAAGTTCAAACCGACAATTGTAGTTCCACTGCTGAGGAATTATAGAAAACACAAATAGATTAAAGTAAAAATAACACTCACTGTCAGTCACTTGTTTCTGTGTGGACAATTTGATAGAGGAAAAACCATCAGATCATAATTGGCGGCTTAATGGTACAGGTAATTGTCGATCTCAGAAAAGAAATCTTAGAAAATAATTGATTAAAACAGTCAAATAATCAAGTCAATGCTCATAAACACAGAAAGGAGCAAACTTTGAACATGTAAGATGAGTTGAATTGTTCAAATAAATTCCAATTACAGGAATTAAATTTCAAAGTAAAAAATTAGAGACTTACCTTTGTGTTTTGACCATAACAGAGAGGAGGAGCAACCTCCTAGCTGAATAGTTTTTAGATAGAAACAAAATAAAATTAGAAACCTGCTTTATGGTTTAAAATGCAACAAACTGTAAACTAAAATTGGTAAAATAGAACTATTAGATGAATAAAGAACCAATATCAAATACCAACTTCATCCTTAATAATAAAAAATGTTGTACAAGTTGGATACTTCTCACTTATTCTATAAAATTTTATTCGGAAAGTTAAAAAGAAAAGAAACCCTGCTTACTTTCTTATCTATCGTCATTGCGTCCAATCCACTCTCGATCTCAGGTTTGAAGCAGTCACAGCATTCCATGTGCGTAAAAGAATCTCGATGGAGATAAATTGTAAAACAT